ACCACATGGAACAAAATACATGCTGAAAGAAAGATTGTTGTCACATAAGTCCATGAAAAGATAAGAGCGAACAAAATAGCAACAGAAAGCCACCATGACTCATGACGAACGTATAAAATGCGGATGATTTCACGCGCAATCTTCAGAATGAAACAAGGCAGTACCCAGAACACTAGCAAACGCATAGAATCCTGCAAAACAAGATACCTGTCAAGATTTTTTAAGTCCCTGTCAAGTTGGTTCGTGAAAACTAAGGAAATCACACATTTTTAGCTACTGTTAGAAAAATTGCAGCATCATATGAATCAATCACTTGGTCTGTCACATCTTTCTTTGGCTTTCAAATTTTAATCAATCGATTTGGAGCTATTAAAACAAAAAATGAAACAGAAGAATTGAGCTTCATATGCTGCATAAAGTTGAAAATAAGCCATAAAATATAAAATTCCTACAGATCATAGAAATCAAAAAGCAGTTCAGAGTTCAGACAGTAATCAATATGTAAATTTTCTTAGCATCAACCAATGAACCATACTATTTTGGCAAACACACCCTAAACTCAAAATAGTTAACCACATGCACGCTAGTACAAATTCATAAGATCACAATAATCAAACACACGGGACCATAGGACTAAACACATAGAGCTTGTTTCATAACATAGATTGGACACTATTATGGAAGAAAAAGAAGTTAAAATCCTGTATATTGTACAGTACAGTTGCTAGTGTCTCATACCAAACATGCCGATATTCACAATGATCACACACAAAAACATAGCATAGAGCAAATCACAGTTAATTGAAGCAGAACTCACCGAAATCTTCTGCATATAGTGGTCACTGAATCTCTCCACATGGCCACTATATCGATCAACAAACAGAAATTTCCTAATACCATACTTTCTTAAATTGTGTGAAAGGCAAATTAGAGATGCAGCTGCTAAACAAGCCTGAGAAATCACTATATCAATTTCAAAAGTCTTGATTTGACCCTTCTCACAACCTGGGCAATTGGAAAGCTCAAGAATCACCACAGGGAGCGTAATTCCTATCAGCAATAAAAAACCCCAAGAAAGCACAAAACTCGACACTGAGGTCTGATTAAAGCCTAAAAACGTGAGAAATGAATCTAACTTAGCAAGGGTTTTATCCAAACGGGTTTCATCATCATTTTCTTGATTTTCTTGGCGATTTGAATCATGGGTTTCGCCTGAAGTTTCGAGAAGAGGGGTCTTGTCTTGTGGGCTCCTTGAATCATCTACTTGTATTTCTACACGATACTCAGCCATTAATTGAAAAAAAAAAAATGCAAATAGAGGAAACCCGGCTAAAGAACAGTTTAATGATCTTGAAAAGAAAGGGAAATGATAGTCAAATAGTGATTTGCAGAAGTAGGTCAACATATTATATCGGCTCTCGATAAACTACTTAAAAATCGAAAACGCTGAAGGATACTTAAATAACACGTCACATAAAGTTGGGTTTTGACACGGGTTATTCCTTGGTTTTCATGAAAAGGTATACCATGGAAATCGACCTTCAAACAAACATTTCATTATCTAGTTGTCTGATGGTTCAGCAAAAGTTTGATGTCATGCATACACGAGATTTTCCATCTATTTTTACTTTGTCAAGATGACGCTACAAAAAGGGTGTTGTTCTTTTTCTAAGTACGACAAATATTTGCGGTAGTATCGTGGATAAGGACAAAAAAGAGGCAAAAAAGGAAATAGATGGTAAGCTCAGCAAACTCCATATATGGACCTATAATTTATTAAGCAATTATTATTGGATGGAGATAAGTAAAAAGTTCGACCCTAGAAGCATTCAGTCACGTGTTTTAGGCTAAATAATGCTACAAAGAGTCGAACTTTGTAAAGGGAGAATGTCCAATATGCTTATCAACAAGTAACTCTTTTAAGAATGCAATAGGAATAGGACTAAGATAATTGACTAGCTCTAAATGGAGGTTTTTTTTTGCTAAGATTTTGAATGTGTTGGAGTCGACTATTATTGATTTTAGTTATATTCGTGATTGTAAGACGAAATCTTAGAACTCAAGTCATACGTTAGCGAAATTTGCAAAAAAAAAAAAAAGGAAAGAAGTTGAGGTGTTTAAGTGAAGATCAAAAGCCAACCATTGGAGAATGAGAAAGACAAAGATATCAAGAACCAAGATGTTTTGTAGTAAAGAAGATAGGAAGTGAAACACCCCAAGATTAAAGACAAAAGAAAGAAGTCATATGTGCGAAACATGGAGAAGAAAAGAATTAAATTGCAAAGACTGATGCAGTGGCTTCTTCTAGGCATTATTTGCCTGATAAAAGTTTATCGAGTTAGGATCGTAACGCATTTTACGGATCTCGATTTCAAGCTTCCTACCAGCCGCTGTCTATTATTTCAAAGTTGTTCTTTCCCTTTAGCCTCAGGAAACACTAATTACATCATCCCGTAAAATGCACAAACTTTATACAAACAACATATTTCACAAAGGGATGGGATGAAAAAACTTGGATGCTTAGAATTCGGATCGAACTAACTATCAGATTGAGATGCTGTTGGGAATTCCTCGACCAGTTACACCAGGATCAGACGAGGGTAAAAACAATTCATATGGAGGAACACCAGCACCACTTCTGTTTTTCAGATGTATATCCTTGTTTCTTGAATGAATAATACGTTCGATCTCATCTAATTTGGCCGAGAATCTTTCAAACAGTAGTTGAACTTCCGGATCACTGAACGAAAATCTCTGAATATGGGGCAGCTGATTCAAGTACTCTTCATCGGGAGAATGTGTTGACAGTGTGTCTTGGACTGCCATAACTTTAGTTGCTTGGAGTTGTGTAGGTAGAGAACTCAAAAAAGTACGCTCTGGGTTAAGAAGAAAACTAATGTAGTCGGGCTCGCCTTCTTGAGGTATTAGATTACGCATGAGAGTAGGACGGTTAGGTGGATATCCTCCGAAGGGATATTGTCCAAAGTTTATAGCTGCATGTTGCCCAGAAGCAATCCAGATCATTGTTGTAAGTATACCAGATAAGTCTTCTTTAGTAGCGAGGTTAGGCCACCACGGTTCGTTTCTTTTGTCATAGTGTCCCGTGTTCTTGATCTCATTCCACCAGGCTTGGAGCTCGACGTCAGCCGTGATGGAATTAGGCCCGGAGTAGTAGTGACCAACATAAGATTCGACCAAATCTTTTATGGCAGACCATATGAGAAGTCCGTCTGCTGCATATGGATAGTCTTTGATTATGAGTTTCACACCATTGGCTGCTGATGGATCCTCGACGGCCATGCCCCTGAAATTTTCATTGCAGCTAATCAAAATGAAAAAAACAATCACATGAAGTGAAACGTGATGTGAATTCACAGTAAGCAGAAGAAGTTTCGTACACAGACACAGACTGAGAGTATGTGAAACTGCCCAGAAATGAAAATTAGGAGGGATGTAATTGGTAGTTTGTGATTTCAGATTTTTATGGTAATTTTTAGATTCCTCTTGCATTAAATTTTTTTTACTTTTAATTTACCCTCTTGTACTAGGATCTTTGATGCAATGTATATATAAGGCCACTAGGGTAGAAGGGTTTATCGAATAAATTGTTTTCCCAATTTCTGTCCAAATCTGAATATTGAATGTGAATCAACGAGTTCAAATTCTCGGTCTAGTGTAAATTTCTAGGTTTTTATACATATTCTCTAGTATTCATGAGCGAACCAGTACGTACTAGAAAGTTGCTTGTGAATTCCATTCTCACATTTTCTCACACGGAGGCATGACTGACTAGCATGAGAAACTTTACCTTCGAACTAGATCTGCAGGCAATGCTTCCATATCAAAGCGCCACATGCTCTTATAAGCTGCAGAGCTTATTTCCATGGCATACTTTCCAGGGAGAAAACAAGCCTCAATAACTCCGCCTGCATTTATTAAACTTTGCCGTGCAAGGGCATTGATTTCCATGGTGTAGCGCAAATGAGGATGGAGAAGCTTATAAACTGGATGCAGCGAGCTAAGCTGCCTATGTGTAGCGATTATATAAGGTTCCATACAAGCATGCGTCCTCAACCTGAAAAATGTTACAACCCGAATGAAAAATTCTCCAATAAGATATTGCATCGTTGGTTAAAAATCGAGCCAAAGTTCTAGAAGTTGAAACCAGGATGAGCATTTCTGTCATACCAGTGGTTTACGAGTTGATGGATGCCTGCATCATTGGAGCAAACATGCGCTTTAGCTAGTTTCCAAATCCAATGAGTCGTTGCATCGTGTCCATGAGTAAAGACACGCTTGTTACTGGGTGAAGAAGGTGAAGGAGGAAGTGAAAGCTCGATGACAATTGGGCTGAGAATACCATTTGGAGTATAGCATAATATTGTTCTCGAGGCATAAGCTTTTCTATCAGGCAATGAGTTTATCTTCTCAATGAATGGCAAAAGGATGTCGTGATAGTCGATCATAAACAACCTCTTCTCCTTTATAGCCTAAATAAACAGTAAGTGAGCCAGGTTGTGAGTACATAACACGTTTCATATCAGAACAGGAATCAAAGGATCCATATTTCGTTCTCTAATGTACATACCTGTTCGACACTTATACCCGACAGTTCTTCCTCTAATAATTCCCTGGTGATAGCTGACTCCGGAGGGCCATAAATTGCAGGATCCAATTTACTTCGAATCGGAAATTCCTTTAACAATTCAATGTTAACAGGATTGACCCCAGCCAGAGTTTGCCGTGCAAACTCGTTGTCCCGTAACCATGCAAATCTGTCTCCTGCAAGTCAATGTAGAATATTGATTAAAGCAGTGCAATATAATGATCGATTTTAACTTCTTTTTCTTTCTTAATACTGTCTGCCTATTGAGTTCTGCCAAAAGAGTAAAAGGAGATAGTCCATACGCTTTATGATGGCCGGTATATCATACTTCAGCAACTTATCATCAACTGTTAACACTTGATTTATCAAATTGGTTAGAAAATGATTTGTTTTTACTTCTTTTCGCCCTTCTTCATTTAGCACAACGTCGTCCTTATACAGATCGTCTATGTCTGAGAAATTAGTAAAAGGGATGTCCGAAGCCGACAAAGTAGCAGCAATAAGTGGTATTAAGTTGTGGAGCAAAGCCTTCAATCTTCCAGCTGAAAACGTGTTCTGCTTAATCTCCTCGAAAGCTTCATCCCGAGGAACATACACTGGATGGGGTTTCTCGGTTCTAGTCTCCGTAGAGGGATCTGAATGAAATTTACGTTACATTATGACATATTGTCGAAGACTAATTAAGTAAATGTGTCCCCTCTCCAGCTTAAAATTTTAGATGAGATAATTCAACAAGTACCTTTCGTAGTCGGTGGTCGACCTGTTCGACAGCGCCTGGGATAAGGCTGTTCTTTGTTGCCCAACACCGGCCTGGCCAAATCTTCGATTTTATCATTATTTCCTAAATCATTATAACGATCATAATCATATATTCTCTCGTGCATTTTCCTCTCCCCCTTTCCATTTCCACGAACACTCATCAAGTCTTCATGTCGAAGATCCTTAATTCCCGGAGGCGTTTGAGACGGTAACACAGCCTGTCATTAAAATAAACTCGACTTAAATCAACTACCATTATTTTGTTATTAAATTCTCTTTGAAGATAATGGTTTCTTTACCTCGTTTCTAAATATAATTCTGCTTTCGGGATTATTATTTCGTGAATGAATCCATGTATCTGCCGAAAAGAAAATGGGACCTTCGACGAATCCATGAACTACAACTTCCTTCAAGAAGAATTCATTTCCATGGAAATTGGTTATAAGAATAGCTCCAGGTGATCCAAAATCCAAAGGCACGCAAAAATTAGCTCCATATTCAACAATATGTGGATTGTTTGTTGGCTTTGGCAACCATCCCCTCACATGAGACTCTATACTCTTTCCTGAATTGGTATCTGTGAAAAGAAAGTACGATGTTATTGGAACATACACTCGACTAGACAATACTCGAAATTATTAAAGAAGAAAAATAAGTAAAATTGTTTTACGTAGTACAGTTTATATTGTATTCTAAATCTGCTCTATTCACATATTTGATAAGGTTGATTGGACGCTCATTGGATGGTATTATGAAATTAAACAGTATCACGTTGTCAAGAATAAGACTTTTGATTCTGAAACCAAACAATATTAATAAAAGTTCTTGCTATGTGTCTTACATTTTCATCACTTGGATATGTCTATTGTTTAAATCTTTTCCAACCCCCTGTGTAGTTAAGCAAGTTTATCTATGAAGTAACAAGAGCATGTCTGACTAGGCTTAAAAGTTACATTTAAGTTACTTTTTATTTGCCAAACATGTTTGAGCTTATTTAAAGTTGACTTTCTTCGTCTAATTTTCAATACAGAAATCCTATTCTCAATACTGTTTTCAAGCTTAATCAAACAAAAGGTTTCTCACAATTTCATTTTTCTCAATCATACATAATCGACTATGAGAATTTGGTTCTTTTTACATATGTACTTAAGTTACTTATTTTAAAACTAAATGCACATATAATCCAACCCAAAAATCTTCTAAAAGTAATAATTAACTTAAAAGTAAAATTTAAAGGACGCAATAAGAAATCGAACACTGACCCGGATCGATATCTTGACTGATTAGTTTAATCAAGATTCCTCTGCCTATCCCACTCATCAAAGACTCCCAATTGTCTTCAATCTTTTCAAGAATATTTTCCTTGATTTTCTTCCTTATAGTGATCACTGCTCTCACATGAATCCCTGCATGTTTTGAAGAAGCCAAAGGCCCATTATTTTCTGTTAACTTTCTTGCAGTATCCACCTTAGTATTGTTATCACCACTTCTGATCACTGCTCTTACAGGCCTGCTGGTGACCAACCCTTGTAACCGGGTAGGGTTCCTGGCAAGTCTGTGGTGTTTTCCGGCGGTGATGATGATCTCCGATTGCCGGAGAGCAATGGTTCTTGGCTGAGCTGTCAGCATATCTTTTGCAATAATTTCCAAGTCAAAAAAAAATGGGTGAAATGTACAAATGAGAACTACAGATTTATACAGAATGGATGTAATATTGAATTCAAGTATCCCACCAATCAATGCAGATTAAAGAAAGGTTGGTTGAACTTAAATAATCAATTTTTTATGATTAAAAATTTATCTTAATGGAGGAAAATTTCACGTGGCGTTTATGAAAATCGTGTATTCAATATTCTGCTTAGTTGTATTGAAAATGTAGCCAGCCATGTTTGAGGACAGTTGAATTATTGCAGTCTGCGAGATGTTGTTATCTTTTGGAAAGATAAGCTTATAATATATGAATATAAAACTTCAGTTCTAAAGAATAGAACGTGCAAAATCTGTTGGATCACAAGCACTAGTGGACAAATCGAACGAGTTTTTCATTGTGAGAGGTTGGTAGGACGAAGAATCATACATGATAAAGCACGAGTTGACTTATGGTTGTTGTGGTGGAAAGTTCGTACAAGTTTTGCATTGTGAGAGATTGGTAAGATGAAGATTCGAATAAAGCCATTTAGCCGAACTTAAAATAGAGAGTGAGGAGACAGACTAATGTATCAGAAAATGGTTGTTGTTTTTGTTTTAATATTTCGAATTGTCCAATCATGATTGTGAAGATTCACACATGTCAAAGCACGATTTGACTTGTGATTGTTGCAATGAAAAGTTAAGGGTGTGAATCAAGTCATATCAAGCTGGATCAATATGACCGTAAAGAGACTTGAGTTAGCCTACTTATGGACTAGCTATGTGAGTTGTGAAGGTCCAACCTTCCTGTTGACACATAAAAATTCAGCCCAAGTCGAACGGCCCAAGGAGTAAAGCCCAATTGGAGAATCCCCAAATCGGATGGCCCAAAGAATGAAGTCCAATCGAACGAGTCAAGGTGAAGGCCCAAACAAGGGGCCCAAGAATGCGGTAACGCCATTCGCCCAAATTTGCAAGTCGCCCAGAATCTGAACGAATTGGTGTCATACGGTCGCCCAGAGTTGTTATTCTACTCTCGCCCAAACCTTCAAGTCGCCCAAGGTATCAACAAACATAACGCATCGTGGTTATCAAGGAATGCAGTTATCAAGGCAGTTGTTAAAGTAGCCTTATCACGTTCCACAACTCAAGAAATTCAATCGAAGGCAGTTGAACGATGAAAGATAATGACAGCAGTTAAAAGGCGGTTTTATAACAAAATGGCTACTACAAAGAAAGTGGGTAGTTATAGGACGATCAAGCAGTTTTCAGAGTAGTTAATCACAAAGAGATCGTCTATGAGGTATAAAAGGGAGAAAGGACGTAGAAGCAAAGGAACCGAATCCAAAACTCTCGAACAGAGAATATGTAATTTTCATTTCTTTAGCTTTTAGACTTAAACACTTTCCTTTCTGTAACTCGTGTGCTTGCGCCCCTTGGAGGCACGTTGTTTTTCGTTTCCAATTGTAAAGTTCATCGCCAATAAAAGAACACCCCTTTTTGGGACTTTGTCTCAAGAGGTTTCGTCCCTTACACAATCGTCTGATCCTCTTTAATTGTTAGCGAGTTAACCCGCGCGAAACAATTTGGCACGTCCAGTGGGACAGTGGTGTTAGGTGTTGAAAGTACAAAAGGTGAAACAATATGCCTCAGAGATCCGACAAGGAAGGAGCAAGTCAGGGAGGAATCCAGTCTGTAATCG